TAATTTTCAATGTGATCGCACTGTTCTTCACTAAACATTTCATCTTCAACTTCGTCATTGCATTCATTGTCTTTACACGGAGGCAAAAATACATAGTTGAAATCTATCACTTTCATTCCTAAATCTTCAGTGTCACGCAGACAATTCCGTAAAGCTGATTCTACGGTGCTTTGTGTATCTTTATCTGAAATGTTTCCTAAGTCATCATTTTTCACAAAATCTCTCTTCATGATTGAACTTTTTTTCTTGATTTCTCTAGGAAAAACGAATTTTTTATCCATATCGTTTTTAATGTTGTTTATGGTTTGCAGTCTGTCACTTCGATGCAACATATCTCTTATACTAAAATTAACAATTGTGCTAAAAGTTGAGGTCATTGATCTAAGGCTTCTAAACATACTCTCACAAGTTTGAGAGCTAAACTTCCAAGGCAAGAACATATCATCAGTAAGATTTTTGCACGACCTGAACTTAATGAATTTGGTATAGTCGTCCAGATCGTACTTCGTTTTTATGACTGCACCCTATTGTGTAGGAGTTAAATCCCTTCACAATGGGTCCGTGCCGCAAGTGATCCAGCGCTCATAAACCATCAACAGACCAACTGTCTACACTACACAGGGCCGTACTTGTTTCGTCCTTGGGAAAATCAAGAAACTGTGAACAACGAACTTAGAGTGGAGAGAATGGAGGTTGAAGAAAATATTTTAGAAGAAAACACAAGACATCAGCATTACCTGTCGCCAGACGCCAAAGAAATAATCAGGAACGTCTACCACAGTTTACTAGAAAAGGAATGTTCTGCTCCCATCAAAGTTTGCAGTGAATTAGTGAAAAAACCCTATTCCACAGTACGAGATATTATAAACAGCAACAATGTTGAAAAAAAAGTTAGAACCCACCAAAAATTTCCAAGAATTCCGGACAAACTGGGAACTGAAATAAAGGAAGTTATTTATAAAATGTATAAAGACAATTAGGTGCCTACAACAAGAAGTCTAAAACTGAAATTACAAGAATTGGGATTTGAAATCATGTATTCGGATGAGACATTTCGACAGTATTTGCGAAGTGTAGGCTTTCATTATAATACCCTGAATCAACGATTGGGTATAATATGTGATCGCTCGAATGATTGTGTTCAGACGTGCAGACGTGCAGACGTGCATTAAAGTGTCTTCCCTTTACTGTGATAAATATTGTGCTTTAGAGACCATGACTAACTTAAAGGCCACTCGAAGTTCTACCGAATTAAAGAATCTTGTGATGGAAGTTGTATCCAGTAAGGACTTCAAAGAAAATCTCTGTGGTTATGTATGCGAGCAGATAATAATTACATTACGTAAATCTGAGGAAGCTAAACAAAGTGCTATGTCCCAGACAGTTACGGATTTAGAAGTTGAAAATGCCCTTCTCAAGTCGGAAGTAGACGAGCTGCGACGTCAGTTGCAGGATTTTAAAAATCACATATCAATCGAACCAGAAAAAAGCAATGCTGACAACAAGAAACTGAGATCACCTTCAATAAACGTTGATAAAAACTCACAGACACTAATCGACATCAATAACACACCGCACGATGAACCCTCACTGTTTGAAAATAATAAAGACCCCCTAGGAGGACGTGGAAAAACCCTGGAAAATACCCATAAACGTGCAAGAAAAGCACCTAACAAAATTGGATCAGCTCCTGTAGATAAGTCGCAGGGAAAACTCATAGGAAAAGTTAGTGAAGTACAAAAAAGGGCGTGGTTCTATGTCGGGAATATTGAAAATAAAGATGCAACCCCGGAAATGTGGTTGGATTATCTCCATGCCTCCTTCCCAGACGACAACTTTGTGATTGAAAAACTAAATAGTAAAGGTGACTATAGTTCCTTCAAAATAGGTGCCCCAATCAAACTTCTAGAGGAGCTATCGCTAGGTGAATTTTGGCCAAAAGGGGTTCATGTTCGCCGTTTCAATTTTTTTGGAAACAGAAGGATAACGCGGATGCCGCCTGCATAAGAATTGTCCATCAGAATGTTCAAAGCTTAAGCAACAAAATTCTGCGATTAGAAAATCTATCATATCCTGCGGATGTATTGGTCCTAACTGAACATTGGATGAATGACAGCAGAATTCAAAGCTGCAACATTGACAACTATAAACTTGTAGGCTTCTTTTGTCGGGAAGAATCTTTTCAACACGGTGGCGTTGCTATTTATGTCAGGGAAAATATTTCAAGTAAAATTTCGTCATATGCATCGGCAAATTCTCTCATGAAAACCATTGAATGTTGTGCAGTTGAATTAACTAATCAGAATATTGTTATACTTGGACTATATAGGCCCCCAAATATTGATAATGTTAGTATAAATACCTTCTTCGAGACATTCGAATCAATTTTGCATCACTATTCTAGATTAACTAATAAATCCTTAATTGTTGTAGGAGACTTTAACTTTGATTTTCTTAACACTAACGACAAAAATGTTAAATACATGACAGATACCTTGAATAGTTACAATATGATACCTCTAATTAAAGAACCAACAAGAATAGGTAACTTCTTCCAGCAAAACTTGCCTTGACAACATCTTGGTATGTAAAGACCAAGCAAAGAAATATTTTAGCTCTGTGTTTAATGAACATATTTCAGACCACTCGGGCCAATTTCTGAGCATGTGCGTAAAAAATTTGCCTAATGGTAATAAGTCCAAATTTTCTTTTAAACGTATTGTGTCGATAACAAATATTGAAAATTTTAAAACCAAATTATCTGAACAGACCTGGGATAGTGTATATACCACAAATGATGTCAATTGGTCATATAATGCTTTTAATTCCATTTTGCAGGCTTCATTTATGGAAACTTTTCCCTTAAAAAAGATATGGCGGAATTGTGGGAGCTACAATAGGGTTTATCGGACATCACCAGAACTGACAGAGTTAAAAAAACAAGTTGTACTCTTTGGGGATTTAGCCAAGCAATACACTGAATTTAGAGGTATTTTTGGTCAATTTAATAATAAATATCAGAACTTATTAAGTGAAATTAAAAAATCCGCAAATGATGAGCGCATTAGAAATGCTAGTAACAAAAACAGAGAAACATGGCGTGTTATACACAACTCTACTGGTAAAACTATTGCAGAGCCTGCCCTTCTGACTGAAGGAAATGTTATCCTGAACCATTCAGATACTGCGAATAAGTTCAACACTTACTTCTCTGAAGCTGCTAATAAAGCGACAAACTCTTTAAGTGACGTTGTTGACTCTGAATTTATTAGGTCCAACATTCCTCTGAGCTCTACTTGTTTCTTCTTTAAACCTGTAAACAGCCTCGATGTAAACGATGCTATTTGCAAATTAAAAAATACCACATCTGCCGGTGAAGACGGTATATCCAATAATTTACTAAAAAATATTATGCACTTTATATCCCCACCACTTGTCCACATAATAAATTTGTCATTCTCTCAAGGCATTTTTCCAGATGCCCTTAAAACAGCTTTCATTATTCCATTCCTCAAAAAAGGAGACCCACGGCTGGTAGACAATTACAGACCAATCAGTCTCCTGTCCAGTATTTCGAAAGTAATTGAACTCATTGTCAATGATAGACTTCTATCCTACTTTGAAAATTATAAACTTTTTAATAAAACTCAATATGGGTTCAGAAAAAATCTAGGGACTGATGCTGCATTAAGCAATTATATTAATAACATTTTTTCATCTGTTGAGAATAAATTAATTACTCTAGGACTTTTTATAGATTATTCAAAGGCATTCGATTGTGTGTCGCATACTATATTACTTCAGAAATTAGAGAGATATGGCTTCCACGGTGTAGCACTTGAATGGTTCCAATCGTACTTGTCCAACCGTACACAACGAGTGGCATTTGCAAGTACAACTATTTCTGATTCAAAAATAGTTACAGTCGGTGTCCCACAAGGTTCCATTTTAGGACCCACTCTTTTTAATATTTTTACAAACGATCTTGCGAGCTATATAGAAGCATCGTGCAATATATTACAAGTATACTTTGCTGATGATGCAAATTTTCTAATTACAGGAAAAGATCCTATTAGCATTTTCAATGTTGTACGGACTTTATACGAAAGAATTTCTGTGTGGTCTAATAAAAACAAATTAATCATCAACAAAGATAAAACCACTTGTGTGCTTTTTGACGAACATACTTTTCTTGTGAAAGACATTCAGGATGTATTAAAAACAATTAATGTAAATCTAACTATTAGACAGCACACAAAGATGCTTGGTATATTTCTAGATCATAAACTATCCTGGATATCTCATATAGATTACGTATGCAATAAACTCTCTCAGGTTTGTTTTATGCTCAAAAATGCATCCCTCCATTGCAATAAAGACATATTAAAGTCATTATACTTCGGATGTTTCCAAAGTTTGTTAATGTATGGGGTGGTACATTGGTATAGATCTACCGCAACTGAAACAATACGTGTATTTAGAATACAGAAATGGGCTTTGAGGATTCTAGTAGGCATAAGAAGAAGAGATTCTTGTCGTCCTTTTTTTAAGAAAGAAAAAATCTTAACACTTGTTAGCTTATATCTGTATCAAGTATTATGCTATGCTTTCAAAAATAGAAGTCATTTTGCAACTTGTGGTCAGGGACATCAATATGAAACGCGCAATAAAGACTTATTGCTGCCAAATAGACATCGTACCTCGCGTTATCAAAAAAGTTTATTGTTTTCGGCTTGTAAAGTTTTTAACTGTTTACCAATGTCGGTCAAAGACACAACAAGTATAACAATCTTTAAAAAAAAGGTGAAACAGTTTCTCTTAGACAAGAACTGCTATTCTTTGGCTGACTACTATGTGTGATGTGTGTAAATTAATGTATGTATTGTCTTCATATATATTCTTTTTATTGACGTATATAACATATGTATTATTTTATGTATGTTTTATTAAATATATTATTATTATTATTATTATTAATGGAAACTCCTCGCTTAAAAAAAATGAGATGGGAATACATTACGAAAATAAGACAATTTCGTGAAGAAGGCCGCTATATCGTTTATGTTGACGAAACTTGGTACGACACACATGATTTAGTAAAGAAGGATCTTACAGACGGGACCGAGAATTGTTACTTACAAGGGCCACCCTCCAGAGGTAAAAGAATAATAATTCTTCATGCTGGCGGAACTGATGGGTGGATGCCGAATGGATTACTTCTTTCAGCCAAACAAATTAAGAATTGTTCAGCTGACTATCATTGTGATATGGATGCGACGTTGTACGAATCTTGGGTTAGACAACAATTAATTCCCAATCTTCCTGCAGGAACGGTGATAGTTATGGACAATGCCAGCTATCATTCAAAACTATTAAACAAAATACCAACAACGTCCACAAAAAAGATGATATTATACATTTTATGAGGCACAATGACATAGACATCCCGGCATGTAAAGCAACAAAAAAAGATCTTTTAAATTGTATAAAACAACTGAATATGCCAAAACAATATCGAATCGATCAAATAGCCAAAGAACATGGACACATTGTGTTGAGATTTCCGCCGTCTTACTGTGTTCTGAATCCCATTGAATTAATATGGAGTAGTCTGAAAAGATCAATTCGACGAAATAACACAACCCCTAATTCAGGCGCTCAAGTGGTGGATCTGATTAGACAAGAGGTTAATAACATAACAATAGATTTGTAGAAAAATTATGTAAAGCATGTAATAGACATTGAAAACAGCTATGTTTCACCTAATTTTCAAGAGTTTGTTGTCCATTTAGAGGACGAAGACAACGACGACGATGTAGTAGACTATTTTTTTGATAGTGATAACGACTGATTTGCAACTACATATTTTTATTATAAAATAACACTATATGTGGATCTGAAAATAGTATGTAAATTATTTATTTATTTATTAATATTGTTAATTTGTTCTCCTTTGTTTAAAATATTTTGTTTATATTATATGAAAAACTGTGAATAAATATATTTATTTCACCATTACGCTGATTTTTGTCCATACCCCACACTTCTGTGAATGAAAGCGGATCCGGTCCTGCATAGGTAGCTCTCGAAAACCTTTAAGACGATTTATGAGACGGCTCTTCACACTTTCAATAGACCTCCAAATGCTTGCGGTAATTGTTATTGCAGTGCCATAAAAACGGAGTACGATCTGGACGACTATACCTCATATCACAAACTCAATTTTTAAAAACTAATTTGGGGTGAAATTATAAATTTGGTTTGTAGGTATAAAGCAATATATTGTATCATTTCTCATCGGAACTGCACTTCATTAACTACAACTTTAATATTTGTCAAGATGAAATATTATGCTGTCAGTTAATGATATACTGGAATTTTCTATCATTATGCCCTTAAAAGGTTATTTAATCTCCACTTTTAAGATTAAATTTATATTTTCTTTCTTATGATGAATGCTATATAGTCATAGTCGTACATGTTACATTTATTAGTTCTAGAAAATATCTAGTTTAACTGGATTTGCTGTGATGATTTTGGATTTCCTTTGTTTTCTTGTTGATTTCTCGTTAATTTCTCATTGATTTCCTCTTGATTTCTCGTTGATTTCCTGTTGATTTCCTTTTGATTTCCTTTGATTTCCTTTGATTTCTTGTGATTTCCTGTGATTTCCTTTGATTTCCTCTAGCGTGTACAATTGATTTCTTCTGCCGTTTACCCCTCGATTTGTTCCAACATCCGGAGCCCCACAGGGCTCTACGTTAGGACCGTTATTATTTTTAATCTTTATAAATCATATAGTTGATGTGATATCTTCAGAAAAGTTATTATTTGCGAATAATCTGAAGCTTTATACAAACATTTATTTAACTCCATTAAGGCTTTTTATCACCTCACCAGCATGACTTTATTGATTCGGAATTATATTTCATTGAGCATATTAATGAAAGGGTAACTAATGTTTTTAGAACTTATGATTTTCTGTAGAAACTGTAGGGACTTCACTCAAACACAAACTCTTTGCACTTTGTTTTGCTCCTTGGTGCACTCAAGACTTGAATATGGTGCTCTGATATGGAATCCTATATATCAGATCCACATTCAGCAGATTGAGTCAGTTTAGCTCAGCTTTTTGAAATTCTTGTGCTTTCTGTTAGACAGTACGTATCCAGAGAGGGGTTATGACCATTCTCCTTTACTTGCAAGGTTTAAATATGAAAAAAAATTACGTCATTATGGTTTCACCGATTTCACATTGGTGAGATTATTATCGTTTAAAATGTACGGCTTCATGTATAGGAATTGTAGAGATTTTACCAATATACAGCGTTGGGCTTTAACTAGATAAATATTTGGTTATCTATTATCTGTATATAGATATAATCAAATTTAGTCACAAAATATTTGCATCTAGATAAAAAATATGTACCACAGATACAGATACCTACATCTTTTTTATTTTACGTTTTATTCGTATTTGATAGTTTATTACTTATTGCAGCAGTAATTTCATGTTGGTGATAGTGCTTCCATAGACAAAAATCGAGATAAGAGGTCCACTAATAGAGTTCTGTGACTAATACTAAGCCATTCATGGTGTATTTCCGAATTCAAATCAACAATTATTATCACCCAGCAAGTAGGCTTCTATCGCGCTTCTTTTGTTAAAGAACAAGCTGTTCCCTTCTTTTCGCAGGTAAGAGTTGAATCTAAGGGAGTCCTTCTCTTTTAGTATAGGGTAAATGAGTTGTAGCAAGAAAACTATTGTGCACTTTCAGCTTGGCTGAATGATATAGCGATTCACTTAGCGGTTAGAGCAGTGACGTTAAAAACGTTGAAGCAGTGCGTTTACATGTACAAGACGAACTGAAATAGCATTTTTTAAAGGTATATAAGCTATTTCTATATTATTTATAATTAATAAAACAAAATTAATCATTTGCTCCATCGGCATCGTGGCAGTGAGCATTACCACGCATTACCTACCATCTCTGAACCGACCGACAGTTGAGAAACCCTGAAATCTGTCAATGTTTTGGCTTAGGCGAACGGAGTTCCGAAATACACTATAATTAATCATCTGTTTACCGGAACCCTCATATTTTAAATACCAAAATATTCTATATTGTAGCCTTCAGTAATATCCATCTTTAAATCAAGCACCCTATACGTGAAAGGCAAGGGACTGTCGTTAATCAAGCACCCCGAAAGGAACAAAAAACTACTTCGTCCACATCGTTGTTCCTGGGTTACGCTAAAAGTAGTTTATTCGTCAGTCATTTCTATAGGAACCAATTCCCTAGTTATTCGAATTTTGCAATATGAATAAACTTTGTTGACCACGAATTTCGAGTATTTACATAAGACGCGAGATTTTCTATTGCCAACATATTACAAAATCGTAAGCATAGGTCCTTAGCAGAAGAAATCGAAAAAATTTGAATTTCTTCGATTCAGCGCCTTCAGCGCCATCTATCACGAATCGAAAAAAAATTTTCAGACAAATCGTACCATACGTACTTTTAGCAGTTCCCATTTGAGGTTTCGAAGTTACCCCCACCCCACCTATAAAGAGAGAGAGAGGGGGGGGGGCTAATTTTAGAACTAATTTATTTTCTTCACGGCGGCATGATTAAAGTTTGATACGAGACATTGTTTTGAAGAGTGCTTATTTTTCGAGATATTTGAAGATTTCAGGTTAAAAATCTGTGCACGTTTCAATAAACATCTTTACTGCAACATTTTTAATTATGTATTTCTGTTACTATGTTGAATACAATAACTAATTAAAGTAATTAATCGCGATATATGTATCAAATCGGTTTAAAATGAAGTAAACACTCAGTCGTGTTTAAGTGTCCAATCAGTATCATTCGACCTATTACAATTCGTGATGGTCTTGCTGTTTAATAAAAATAACATGTAATTTTGGAGATTATGCACACGGCAGATAGCTACAACACAAATCCGTTGGTTAAATATAAATCAAAATTCAATGAAGACAGCAAATGCTAGCTTAGACAGGTAAAATTTAATAAACGTTTGGAATAAAAACGTAAAAATATCAACGTTTTGTTTTTACTCATAAATATGAAGAGTTTACTACTCATAACTATTTAGGTACATGCATGCATTTTTAGAATTCCGTCTGAACGAGGCACTGCATGGAACAGTAAATTTCTAATCAGCGCAGAGAAATACAAAAAGTTTTTGGATTTGTTTCCTGTGGTCGTGAACGACGTAACGAATAACACTACAGACCCACAATTTGCTGAAGCAAATACACACTGAAAACGAACTTCTTCATTATCTCGCCCCCTTTGGTAAAAAATTGAGGGGTTTCATTACATTCATAGCTTACGAAGCTCTTGAAAAACCAGAGAATGTTACACGGGGAAATCGCAGATTAGCAATGCTCATGGTTTGGGCTTTGGAAATTGTAAGTCGAGTTTATTTGGTTATTAGGACCAGGAACAACGAAGCTTCTTCGTTGTTTTTTGCCTTCGCTAGGTTTTACGTGGAGAATTAAACAAAAAGTTCCTAAATCCTTGATTTAAATTGCGATCCGGATTTTGGGCCGTTAAAGTTTTGATCACTTACAATCAAAATAAGACAATAACGTTTAATAACGTGGGCATTCGCACTCGTAACGGGATTTAAAACCTCCGCTTGGGCTTGAGATTTGAATGCGGAGAAGGAAAACCAGAATCGGAAGCACGCGGATTCGGAGAGAGCATAGCATAACTGTGCTTGAAGTACGTATTAACTTTTAGTCTTAGCTTTTTTTATTGTAATTTTATAAAAGGGCGATTACTTAAACAAAAATGGATAGCATTCGACGCCACATTCTGCCCCAACTAGTGTAGTTAGTATAGTATTATTTTATTAATGATTTATACGACGAAATCAAAAATCAAAATTCAAATCAGGTTTTATTGCATATTGCTTCCTCTTAAATAGGACTTTTGGTCCATTTCTTACGCGTCAGGTAATGTTTTTATGTAAGAACACAGTAAGATAAATTTTTGATAGTTTAGCCGAAAAGAAATGATGCTCATATTGTTCTATTTCACTCAGAAGGTATTTATATCCAAACTTCGTTAAAGTGTCTTAAAAAATGAAAGCAGTTCCTATTTAGCCTAAAATCTGTGGCTTGTAAATCAATACAGACTGAAGTAATAACATTTAAATGTTCTCTTTTTAGATGCAGTCAGCTTCTCTTATAGCTGACGACATCATTGACGAAGGGGTAATGCTCTCTGCTGGCACAGAAAAAAATATATTGGATTTAAAGCAGTTAATGATGCACTGCTTCTTGAATAAGGAGCTTACCTATTACTCAGAAAATATTTTAGAAATCATCACTGTTATCTACCCTCGATGTTGTTGTTTCATGACATTACTATGAGAAATGGTTTGGGAGAAGTAGCGGATTGCCTGTCTGTTAAAGATGGTAAACCCCAACTACAACTTTTCACGATGGACAGGTTTAAACGTATTGCTGAATACAAAACTGGGTTTTACATTTTTTATTTACCAATAGCTTTAGCCATGTATATGGCAAACATATATGACCTGGAACTCCACAGAAAGTCGGAAGATTTGTCTAAAGATTTGACATTTCTGTATCAGGTGCAGGTAAGTTGTACTGACAGTTTGCGAAACTATGAAGCATGTAATAAGTATATGGAAATATTTCATCACATCTTTCTAAAGACAGTTATATTTGTCAGAATGACTTCTTGGACTGTTATGGTAACCCAGAGAAAAGTGGTAAAAGGGGAACAGACATTGAGGAAGGTAAATGTACATGGCTGGCTGTAATGGCCATGAAAAAAGGAAATCATTCTCAGATAGAAACGATGAAACAGTGTTATGGTTCTAAAGATCCTGAAGCAATAACAACAGTTTTAAACTTATTTGAAGAACTAAATCTGAAAGATATCTACCAAAGTTCTGTGGAAAAATCTGTCAATCAGTTACGAAAAAACATCTCGCAAAACATCAGTAATGAAAATTTACAGGCAATCTACTTTAAAATTCTAAAAGCACTTGAGCAAAGACCCTGTTAAGCAATTACAAGTGCGTAGGTTTTGGATAATTGATGCTAACAATTTCGCGAATATTTTTAACGATAAATTGACTATTTTTTAACACATATGGAAATTAAATAATCCGTAATTATTGCTTGTACAAAGTGGATTACAATGTGTGATGATGGAAGAATTGTTAAAATAAAGAAATTTTCTCATTTTGCGTACATGTCAATTCGCTGCCAACAAACGCCGGTTTTGCCGGTCTAAGTTATAAAAAATTCCGTTGTTTAAATTATTTACTTGCTTTTAAGACTATCTTTAACGCTAATATCAGTTTTTAATTTTTTAGCGCCTTATCTCTTTATTTGTTCTTGAAAAAGCAATAAGTGTATTAAACCTATTTGCTAAAATCACAAATTTTATTCTGTGATAACATCATTCGTATGTGGCAAAAAAGAAAGAAGTTTAAACAATAACAATTAAAATACAAGTGTGAGAGTATAATATTATATGAAGTTTAAGCAACTTTGAATTTATAATAAGGCACACTAGGCACTGGCCTAGGGCATCAAAGTTGGAGGGGCCCCAAAACCTTTGGAAATGTATATTTAAAATAAAAAATTGCAACATTTTATTATTATCATTTAGTTTTTTTTAATTTGTGGTAGGTCACCGCTGCTGACACAGGAAATCACATGTGCAGAGGCGGCCAGTTTGCGAGCAAATCAGTACAGAATACTGAACCTTAATAGAACCCGTATCCTTATGCTAGCAAAGGTGGGTTTGCCGTACAAAACGTGTGCAAGACTATAAAGTAGTTTCCGAAATTCGTGAGAATTTAAATAGGAGATTTTCTAAACAGGTCATATAAGAAACAAATATTTCAGCATCGTACAGTAGCAGATTTAGTAGCTTTCGGCGCTTCACAATTTGTGCAGTAGCATTCAAATTTGATTTTTATTTTAGTACCTTTGTACTGTAAATGTTATTGTTGTCAGTCATATTTAGAAAAGGTAAGTTTTCAGTTCTTGTAATTTTCATAAAAGTGAACGGCATTTCATTTTTTATTGAAGAATTTTTTATATTTAAAATGAAATTAAAATTCGTAAATTATTAATAAATTTAAAAAGGCCCTTTAACATTGCCACAAATTAAAAAAAAATGTCAAATTGCTGTTAATTTTTTTTTTCCGTTATACAAACAGTGTATAATTTTTTTTCGGCTTCGACAGGCGGGTAGAATCTTTCGAAATCTGCTATTCAAAATGACAACATTTTAAAGACACTTTCGGGCACCCGTTGGGAGGCTCATGCTGTACAACTTCAACAATCTTGGAATCATTTAATAAGATAATAAATACTTTAGACTCAGTGACGGCTCGTGCCAAAAAAACGTGGGTCGGCCAAACATGAGGATGACACTAATTAGTAAACATTTTTTAGTTAATAAAATGTCATTGTCATTCGTTAAATCAGTTTTACGCCGTTTCGCAGATGGAGGAGCTATATCAGCAATTTTAAAGTAGCAATCTCTTCAACATTAGAATATATCTTTGAAAATAATGATCTTCATTTCGAATTCTTTTTAAAAATTTTGCTAACTCCTTAAAGTTGACTTGATTATCCGAACCACTTGTTCCGTCGTTACCTCGAAATGCCATTTCTTGTGTTGATAGAAAAATAATCATATTTATTAAATGTTTTACCATAATTCTGTTTTCTGGAACAGTTTCATTGTATTTATTTATATATGTATTCGTGTCTGGCACTATCCAACGAATTCGCGATATTGTGTTTTCCGAACAATTTCAATTTTAGAGTCAAATGAATATGCTCCTTAGAAATTTTGCGTTTGGCCAGTGCACGATGAACTTCTTTTAAATTATCACAACCACTAGAATTATAAGGGTTCTTGGATTCTGAAAATAATAAACAATACCAGAAAAATAATTTGTTACGTGTTTCGCTGCCAGCTAACGAAGGATATTTACAGTAGAGTGTTTTAGAAAATGCACGATTATGACCAGGCTTCGTTTGAATCAAATTGATAATTAACGTTGCTTCACAAAAACTTTATGGCCATAAGTTAGTTCTTTAAATTTATGTATTAATAAATAATTAACCAAGTCGCCATTCATGTCAACTATATTGCGAAAAGTGTCCATCGTGAGTTTTTATACGAATTAATATAAATATATTTAATTATTTACCAATTCAATCAAGCGCTTCGTACAACCATGGCCGACTAGTATAAAGATTATGGCCTGTCCAAGAGGTACGATACGTGTTGCCATCTATTAATAATTACACTTAATAATTTAGCAAAATTTTAATTTGACTCGACATTATGGGACTTCAAAACGTGTAATGGTGGTTTGTTTGGGTATGAATGCCTTTGTGCCTTTCAAAAGGTGTTAATAATTCTTTTGTCGATTTAGAATTATTAATAGATGGCAGCACGTATGGTACCTTTGGCATTCCTTTGGACAGGCCATAATCTTTATACTAGTCGGCCATGGTACAACGTGCAACCAACACTGGTCAAAAATATTCATCGTTCGTTAATCTTCGGTTTACTAATCGTCCAAGTACGTTGGATTGCTACAACCGAGCCGGCCGGCCGACCGCGGGTGGAAACTACATGGGAATTCACGGACTATTTTATGTAAAATATTTTTTATTACAGGAGATGAATACAATTTCAACACTCTACAGTTAGGAATATACCGTATTAAGATATATGTGATCAACAGATTGCAGTATTGTTTGAATCATCCAATTTTACCCAACTAAATTAAATTATTAACGACTTTCTTAAATTTTGAAACTTTATGCTTGACATGCATAATTCTTTAATCAGTTTTTAATAATTTATGAAATAATGAAAAACTGTAAATATTGAAATGAATAAAATAAAAGAGCGATAAGTAGAAACGAGCGCGCCGCATCCAGGGTGTCGTCTGCGTCTGCGGCAAAATCGGCCAGAGCGCTATCGGCCGATGTTGTGTGTTTCAATCTACGCCAGAATTGTAACTTAACGCAGCCATATACCCATCGGAAAGCATAAGCCGTAGCTCGTAGATTACTGTTGGTAATTTTTCAACGCATCGGCCGGCCGGGCCCGTGTCTATATAGGCATTTGACATAGTAAAATAGTTTCTCTCCGGGATGAATTTAAAACATTAAATTGTGTCTTCATTATTAGAAATTAATAGTAATTATTTTTATTTATTTATGTTTATTAATTTTTTAATTTTTAAAAATTATAGTATCAGTCTTTCAAAAATGCTAATAAAAAATTTGAATTTCCAAAAAAAAATTGTTTTATTTCTCAAATTATTTGGTACGGCCTGGCCGACCCTGCCGTCCCTGACGAGCCGTCACTGTTTAGACTATATATTTACAAGTATAACTTATAAATGAAGGTAGATTCTTGTTCAATAAAAAATTAATAAAATGTAAAGGCGTTATGCAAACACTCCTTTATTCCTGGAGAGAGTTGGGGGCACCACCACTCTTTGGTGCCTAGGACATTAGAATTATTGTTAAATCCGGTCCTGAGTTTAAGTAATGTTTATTGCACAAAATTTTTAGAGGATGTCATCACGTTGTTGGTGGGGATAATTAACTAATTTTGGTTAGCGTTTTACCGTCTACGTTAGCACCTTTTTTTAGCTAGGGTGTCCGCTATTTGGCTCCCTTCTGTTCTATTATATCCCGGCACCCAACACCACTGGCGGCGTAAAGGGGGGCGGTCCGCGCCGAATACCAAGCACTAACGGGTGACAACGACAACTCACTAGCACAGCTAGAGCTTACTTAGAGGATAATCACTCTGCAAGAGCATACAAAAATAAATCGGGACAGCAGACAGACGGACAGACAGACAGATAGACGGAAACGGGAGACCTATTTCTTCGTACTCTAGGGATCATGAAAGCCCGAGAAAATGTAAAAGTTGAGAGTCGGCCGACGGACTTGATTACAATACTTCCTTCGCTTACGCTTGAGAAGTAAAAATAATGTTATTGATAGATTTTACGAAAAAATAGACCATCGTAACAGAGCAATCAATGATATTCTCGTAAAATTTATTAGTGTTGTTCAACCTAAAGGTCGAACTATAAATTTGTCGCTGACGTTGCTGTTGTAAGATAAATACTCATCGAAGGTATGCGTCGTTTCTATCATCAGTTGACGTTGCCGTTGAAAGTTGGCACGCCGTTGGGGTGACGTTCGAGATGACCAACATTTAACTTTTGCCGTTACGTTGCCGTTGACGTTGGGTTTTCAAACAACCAAATTGGGGTAGTGTAGTGTAGTTTCTGGTTGACAGCACTAATTCCACGAAAATCAAATTTTGAACACTTTACCTTTTACTCACAGGCCAAACGATTTCAAGTCTCCTGAAAATTTTGTCTGTTGGATGTCTACGTTCGGGATATTTCTGTGCGTACAAATTTGTCCCCACTAGAACAGTTTTTGACACTCTGCTCAAAATTAACAGTGACATAAGAATACCAACTTGAATTCATGATATTTTTTAATTTCTACTACATGCATCAAGGGACAGAAGAAAAATGTCTATAGGGATAAGTCAAATTCGCCATTTACGCTTAATCAGCCTATATGTGTAGTGTAATCTTTTTTTCACAACAAGAAATGTAAAACATGTTTAAAATGGTAAATTTTTGTAGGAAAGTATCGATTTTGCAATTTCGGTCTGACAACGAATGAAAAATTCATCACTATTGTGATTGAGACGGATGGGCGGGGCTTCCCTTTTGGTTTTCTTTTTTAATTAATATATTTAGTTTTCTGTGTATAACACGATTACTTAAAAACATATTTCTCATGGTAATTTCTAGTAGAAAAATAAGAATTTTACAATTAAGCTCTGCCTCTCGGCTTACGACGAATAAAAATATCATCAGAATTGAGATAGGGCCGGCGGGTGGGGCTTATATTTTGGCTTTTTTTCTTAATATACATAGTATTCTTTCAACAACACTATACTCAAAAATATGTTTTTAATTTCTCGTAAAGAAATTGTGCTATTAAGTTCGATCCCCTTGGTTCACGCTGAATAAAAAAGTCATCATAATTTTTTGCCGTTTTGTTTTATTGGTTTTGCAATTAGTCTCCGCCCCTAGGCCTGCCAACAAATGAAAACTTCATTACTATTTATATCAGGGCAGATATGGCTGTAGCTTAATCTTTGGCTTTAATTTTTTCTTAATATATATAGTATACTTTGAATAACACGACACTCAAAAAATGTATTACATGGTAATTTCTTGTAGTGAAATAATAAGAATTTAGCTTAAATTCCGCTCCTTTGGCTCTCGACGATTAAAAAAATCATCACAATTGAGATAGGACGGGTGGGCGGGGCTTATATTTTGCCTTTTCTCTTAATCTACGTAGTTGTCTTTTCAGAACAAGAAACTTAAAACATGTTTGCAATGGTAAATTTTTGTTGACAAATATGGATCTTGTAATTAAGCCCCGCCCCTCGATCTGACAACGAATGAAAAATTCATCACACTTGAGAGTTGAGGTCGGGGCGGGTATGATGGATGGGGTTTAATCTTTGGCTTTATTTTTTCTCTTAATATACATAGTTTTCTTAGTGTAGACTTATTTCGACGAAAAGAAACTAAAATATCTAAAATGATAAATTTTTGTAGTAATCAACTTAAATCCTCCACTTTTCTTCTACAACATCTTTAAATACGGTAAAAGTTGAACATCAAAGTTACTATCAACGGCACTTGGAAGCCGCCAGCATGTTTTCCAAGAAGCGGTTGAGTGGGCTAGATTGCAGCTTTTCAGATTCATTGTAAAATGGGGCTATTCAGAGTCTGTTCCGAGTCTAGCGCTGTATCTAAGATTTTTTTAACCATTTGGTTTCGGTGGCTTCATGTAACAGGTCCACAGTGAGCTAAGCGCGACTAAAGAGGAAAGGAAATTTTGATTACGTCATAGAATATTTTGCCAAAATGAACGGCACGTTTAGGGAGGGGGGGGGGGGGTACTCAATAGAAAACCGCTCTGGGTGTCAAACAAACCACGATGCGCCGCCTCAGAGAAACGCTATTTTTTGCCTTTAAAGCAAGGGGGTAGTCTGTGCTCTAAAGCTACTAATGCAGCACTTGTGCGTGAAGCAGACATTTCTGTTTGTAGAATCATTAGAGTATTACCTAAGGATGAAAAAATCCTGCATTTAGTCCCCTACAGCCATATCCACTGCCTTGGTCCCATTTTGACACGTCTGAACACCAAACGAGGACATATTTTGGCGCTAACAGTGGACTCAAAGTCGAACTCAACTAGCATTAGATCCGATGGCATTGTCTTGTGGTTGAAGTGTTTTGTCTGTAAAATCCTCAATACTGCTTCGGTTTTAACATAAAGGTCTACAAGTGACATATCTAGGGAGACTGAGAATAAAGTGAATAGTCCTTGCGGCCAATTACGTACAGACGAATAATTGTGCCAATATTTTTAGAAGGTAAACCAAAGAAAAGAAACAAAACGATCTTTACAAAAGTTTGATAGAGCTTCTACGGTGAAAATACTAAACACAAATACAAAAGTTTTTTGACAATGGCATAATTAGTCCAAATTAGATAAACTTGGCCCTCTCGATACTATGATTTGACACCATGTGGTTTCTTTTTGTTGCCTCATCTCAAAAACAGTTCATTTCAAACGTCTGTTATAAATCTGAATGACTTGCAACAAAGAATCGTATAAAAGTGCATGGAAAACAACAGACTTCAACAACGTCACACTATAGCATAGTTCATTTCAATCGACATGTAACATCATGTCACTTCACGTCTTTTATTTATATGTTAGTGGAATTCGTACCTAATACATATGGAGTTATTTTGGAGTTTAATAAAACAAGTATTTTTGAGCACAAAAAGTTAATGGAAGACTTTAATTAGGCTAAACGTTTCAATAATAACTACGTTTATTTACTTAAATGTATTTACTAACGTTTATTGCTGTGTGAAAAACAATTCTTACTGGCGGACAGAAGGATATGACTAGCGAGCCGCAGGCGAGCCAGTGACCTGGAGCCAATAAAAACATGTTACCTTGCGTGTATTGTTCAATATTTTATTTGTTTCTCAGTTGTAAATAACTATTATAAACTATTAAAAACGCTAGAAGGTCCAATATTTGAAGAAACATCGTATGAGCTTTAGACGTATTGCCTTGGAAACGCACGTCAGCATGGCACTTGTCATAGCATTTACTGTGTTGTCTAGTTCTGTCATTTAGATTTTTCGATTTATCGTTTTCGATGTATTGAAATGAGTGTGGCGCAAGCTATATTACTGAGGAAGCAGCAATTGTGAGTGAAAATTTACCTGAATCAATATTAACCTAAGGTGATTTTGACAGAACTTCTCTCGCCTTTAAAGTACCAGCTTCTTTGAAAAAATTATAAAATTTGATTTTCCGAATTTTATTTACTATTTTGTATCGCTCCTTTAAGTTAAAATGAAGATAATGTATGAAACAAAAAAATCGTTTTCCTTTTTTTGTAATACTTATTAAGAAATTTCGCTCGCATCTGAAGCACAATCCACCAAATTCCGCTTCATCGAAAAATTATAAAAAGCACATGGTCCGCACATGGAGAAAAATGTTCTCTCGGTAATAACAACTTTAAGTGTTTATGTATACAGCCAAAGAATATCTGGTAGATGTCTGTTTGAATTGAATGAAATTGTCTATTATATTGCGCGTCTATATTGCGCGTAACAGCTTAACTTGATTGTTCTCTATGATTACAAAATTTAAAATTTTTATTGTAATTCGATAGTGTTCTTTTAAACAGAATCACAAAGAAGACTAGAAGATCTCGGGAACAATATATTTTCTAAATTTCGACTAACGATCCGTAAAAAAAACCGTAACATGTGATCCTAGCCGAATGCGCTGTCTTATGATCTTGTGCCATAAAATCTGCCAAAATTTATTGCTGATATCTAGCAGCGGTTAACTTACCTTGAAGGTGATTACTTTGAATAAGCCACTTAATCACATGGTGATTATTGGCATAATTACCTCCAAGCCTCAATTTTTTGACCAGAGTTCCGGAACTTTATCACATATAGTTTTAATGAGTTGTGAAAATGTCGACGATATTGTTGGAAAATCTTCCCGAAATTCATCTCAAATTTTAAATTTACTTTGTTGAAATGTACACAATCATGAGACCAAAAGTACGAAATATTAGTAAGAAAACATTAAAGTGAACCTTTAGAAGCACATAGCTAACACAACATAGTCAGGTTATTCACATATGTCACTTCGCTTATTTTCATTTTTATGTTTGTATAACTGGTAAGTATATTTTGTAGTTTTTTGTGTTGCTTTAACAACATCTTTGAAAAAAGAAGCCAATTATTATAAATGTTTTAATAAACGTTTTTACAAAAATATCTTCATTATTTCGGTTCCTACGTTGAATGTAATGATAATAATTATAGTCATTAATGTGTCTATATTACATTGATTTAAATTGGAAGAACAGTTAGTCAAGCATAAGTGTCCAATCAGTATCACTCAAAAGGTTGCGTGTTGTGATAGTTTTGCAAATGAGCGTAATTTTTAACAGAAATAACATGCAATTTTGGAAAATATGCACACGGCAGATAGTTTCAAAGGCAAAAATTTCTGCAACACACACCCGTTCGCTAAGTCTAAATCAAAATTTGATGCAGGAACCAAATACAAGCCTAGACAGGTAAAAACTGATAACACTTCTTCTTTTAGTCAGAACGCCTACATTGAAAACCTAAAAATACCAACATTTTGTTTTTGTTAATAATTTTGTCAAGTTGTCCATTTTTACACTTTCTATCTAATCTGGTTGAAACTTTAAAGTTTGTCGTCCAAAGCAGAAATTCCTAAAAAAATTTCCCCCTAAATGTATATGACGTAGTGGTCAAATTCAAAACGAATACGGCTGAACAGATTACTGTTCATATTTAGACATGTACATGCAATTTTAGAAGTTCGTCTGGACCAGGAACTGCATGGAACAGTAATTTTTTAGTTAGCTCGGAGAAATACAACGAATTTTTGGATATGTTTCCTATGATAGTAAGCGACTTAACGAATGCCAAGGCAGACCCAAATATTGTTGAAGTAAATGTACACTACGACCAAGTTCTTCGTTATCTTGTCCCTTTTGGTAAAAAATTGAGAGCTTTTATTACATTTACAACTTACGAAGTCCTTGAAAAACGAGAAAATGCCACACCGGAAAATCTCAGATTAGCAATGATCATGGCTTGGGCTTTGGAAATGGTAAGTCGAGTAAATTTTTCGTTGTTCCGACAAACTGAACTGATAAAGTTGAAATGATTTAATTAATTTTTAGCTACAGGCTGCTTCTACTATAGTTGACGACATAGCTGACGAAGGAGTGATGCGAAGGGGCTCCCTCTGCTGGCACAGAAAAGAAAATATCGGCTTTAGTGCAGCTAATGATGCACTACTTCTTGAACAAGGAACTTATATATTACTCAGAAAATATTTTAGAAATCATCACTGTTATCTACCCTCGATGTTGTTATTTCATGAGATTACTCTAAGAACCGGTCTGGGAGAAAGTGCGGATTGTATGTCTATCCAGGATGGTAAACCTCAAATGCAACTTCACACGATGGAGAGGTTTAAACGCATTGCTGAACACAAAACTGGCTTTTACACTTTTTATTTACCAATAGCTTTAGCGATGTATATGGCAAACATATATGACCTGGAACTCCATAAAAAATCGGAAGATTTGTCGAGAGATTTCACGTTTTTGTATCAACTGCAGGCAAGTTATACAGACAATTCGTAAAACTATGTAACGTGGAAATGCAGCAAATGATATAAATATCGATTAACTAACATAATTTGAAACTGAGTCATCCTTGGAGAGGATTTAGCATGTGCATGATTAAAAGACACTGATAAATGTCAAAAAACAGCAAATGTAGAAGCATACTATACGGATTAAATTCCAAAGATGACTTGTTTACAAATTATGTTGCTTGCCCTATATTTCATAGTATGTAGTTTCTGTGCGATCTAAATACTCTGTTTGATACTTATATTTGTCAGGATGACTTCATGGACTGCTATGGTAACCCAAAGAAAAGTGGTAAAAAGGGAACAGACGTTCAAGAGGGTAAATGTACGTGGCTCTCGGTAATGGCAATGGAAAAAGGAAATTATTCTCAGATAGAAACGATGAAACAGTGTTATGGTTCCAAAGATCCTGAAGCAGTAACAACAATTTTAAACTTATTTGAAGAACTAAATCTAAAAGATACTTACAAAAGTTGCTTGGAAGAATCTTTCAGTCATATACGAAAAACCATCAAGCAAAACATCAGGAATAAAAATTTACAGTCAGTCTATTTTAATATTCTCAAATCTCTGGAGCAAAGATCCTGTTAAAAAATTCGGTTTTGGATAATGGATGTTAACCGGTTCTCGATTTTTAAACTTAACATGTGTGTAATTTTTAACGATAATTTAAAACTATCATCTTGGATTCGCCGTATTTCTTAAATAACACCTTATTTCTTATATAAAAATGTGATGTGTGATAGTGGAAAAATTGTTGAAATAAAGCAAGTCTTAAATTACTTCTTATTTTTCGCACTCGCTATTTCGTCAATAAACATAGGTTTTGCGTATATAAGAATTCCATTCTTTAAATTATGTTTTTGCTTGATTTGTAGAATTAAAACTAGGTACTTTTAACGCTTTTGTGAGAAACTTTTCAATACTTTCTTACTCAGTATTTTAATAGTTTTAGCTTCTTACCACTCAATTGTCCTTAAAAAGCAATGAGTTATGTTTGCTAATATGAACATTTTTATTCTTTGATAATATCGTTCTCAACACTGAATACTGACTCCGAATTTTTTTTCGACGACGGTAAGACTGATAAAATGTTAGTATTTTTTTTCTTTACAGTTTTATTTTATTTTGGTATAAGTGCACACGTGAATATTTGCATTTGTAATAATTTTCTCTCTAATAGTGTCTTATTTGTCCAAAACTCATTATCTGCATAATATGTAAAACCTATGCAAAAGATAGGCGTATATTCTAAAAAGTTTGAGCAAGTTCTAAAAAAATTACAGTGACAACACGCTTATGGATAATTCACAGCATTAGTATTTCAACTACATGAGAAAACAACCTTCTTTGTACAATATTATTCGTGAAATAAACCATATTTGATACCTGTTTAATTTTTAATTTAACTAACTCGTAAACTATTCTAGTTTATATATCTTGAGTCATCGCCTGTTAGAAACACAGTCCTTTGTCTTGTCATCTTTGAAAATTTAATTGTCTGACCCTCGCCTTACGACTATTGTAGTTTGGGTACGATTTCAGATGAAATTATTTAAGATTTACGATTTTTATGGATTTGCCAATGATCTTGCGATTCTGGGTATGCTGAATGCAAAATCTGACATGCGCAGTGATGTTTCATATTTTCGAATATGTAAATTTTCGTTTTTTAAGTTTCGGGAGATTTTTTTAGTGCGATTTTTTGTAAACTGATTTTATGACGGTCCGTCACACATCATTATTGGTACTTAGTACTACAAGCTTTAATTTTTTATTTTTTTATTAACTATTTTAATTAAATATCAATCAGTAAATTTACTTCAAAAGTTTTAATGGTTAGATATTTTTTTAATAACGTTTACAACGTATTATGTTCATTCTTTGGTTCTTTGCAAAATTATATCGTTACCACACAAACGATAACAATACTGATAACTCCTGCAGATAGCGTAACGAGTTTTGTGACACCAAAATTACATAATAGTAAACAACTTCGGGCTTCTGGCGATACATAAAATTATGCTATGCAAAAAAGTTTTAAGAGTTTATAACAATTTTTTGTTGAAACTGAAAACCAATCTACAACTCACATGATGATTTCTTTTGCAGTTACGTGTTAACATCAGTCAATCACATCAGCATTTAAAAATATGTTGAAAGTACTAGTTGATTTCAAAGATATTGAGTTAAACATATTTTTTTTCACTAGCAGCCATGAAGTATGCAAATGTCGACTCATTTAGAGGTAGCAAATTCAACTTTTGCGACGCATGGTAGTTGGTAGACGGTAGAAGATAAAATGATTAATTCAGCGACAAATGTAAACCGTTTTCATTGTGTTGAAGATTTAGATTAAGTTTAATTAGAAATCAAAACAAAATCATGTTGCGTCAAAAAATTAAACGTTTATTTTTTCAGTTTATTGTCTTATGGTTTCTACTAGTGAAAAAATAGTATATTAACCACGTTTGCTAAACGACTTCTAGACCTCGGGCTTCAGAGCCCTCGACGTTGCGCATCTCGGGTTCTAATTTGCGCTCGGTCTAGAATGCTTGGCTTTGCAACCTTGGCTAATAATATACTATTTTGGAACTCAAACTCAAACTCTAAGGTATATTAATATAAATATTTCAATTGTCATAACTTCTGCGAGTTTTCACTCATCCCTTTTGAGGCGAAAGAAATTAAGAAAGGTAATTTTTGACAGGCGTACAAAAAATGTAGGGTATTGTGACGTACTATGTAGTCTTAAAGTGAAAACACACATATGTTGTAGATATACATTCTGGTGACCAAATATGAATTAAAATTTAGCGCTGAAAAAAAAAACAACGTTGCGAAATCGCATTTGAATAATTTGAATTTGAAAAAAAAATGTCATTAAGAAAATCGTTAAACATAGGCAACCACGTGCAAGTTTAGTTCTTTTTTGGTAGTTGGTAGCTCTTCTAGAGAATTTCTGGTTAGTATCTAGTGAGAGGGTTGGTAGTTAAGTGTGCTGGCGGTGACGCGTCAATGTTTTTTTGTTTGGTGTGAGTGAAAGCACGCGGCAAGGAAGGTAAATTAAATTTAGTTGGTTTGATACCTAGTTAATAATAAAAGGGGAACACTTGTTTAACGAAAATTAATCGAACCGATGACGACGCCAGTTTCCCCAACAAGCGTTGCTAATTATTGCGTTTTTTTCCGAGTGGAAATATGCGTATTTTCGACCGACGCTAACACGTAGTATAAAATTAGTTTTATTGTTTGTAAATTCACAGTTCATGTTAGGATTTGAATCGTTACTGGTTCTAACACAATTTAACAGTCATGAGTTTGTTCAGATAAAGCACTTGCTAGGGGACTTTACAGGATACACTTAGTCAGGACTCATCCTTTGTTTATCAAGTTATAAATAAGGTTTCTGGATGATTATACTAATGATAAACGACAACAGATAGCTTCATGTCTAGTCACAGTTTTCAGTTTGAGTATTGGTATCTATTTATTATATGATCTAAGGTTGCACCAAACGGTTATTACACTTGTTGAAATACATTTTCAAACTTCCATTTTTCTCTAGATCGTCGGTTTCGTAACTGTGTGATAAATCGTTTGTCGTAGATAGAAAATAGTAAGATTACAGTGACCCTAAGATTTTGTGCAAACGGCCTTAAATACATCCCTGTGTGATGTGACGCGTGCCGTAGTGGCAGAACTTGCAAGCCGTCGTCGGCTCCATTTGAGCCGGTTTTATTTTATTTTTATTGGCAAATTTCGACTCTATGGACGCCTACAATATCTATGCAAGCTATTTTAACACTTCTTAATTCCCCACACAAGATTGCTAATGGTTTATTTCCGGCAGTTAAATTAACCTAACGTTGTCCCACTCTGGGAAAAGGACTGTGAAAAGTGCGGTAAAATTCATAATATCGTGCACTGATTAATTGTTTTCCCTTAGGCAGTTATCATCCGGACATCAACGAGACGTAATTCTCGCGACGTGGGAGATGGCATTATCGAGACGTTTTCTCGCGACGCGGGATGTATTTTGTGTTTATTTATCATGTGTTTGTTTGGGATAAGCTGGGGACAGTCCACGATGTAAACTTTCAAAGCTAATTGTTTTAAGTAACCAGTCACTTGGATCATGGCATAATTTAACGTCATGTAAATTCTTTGTTTTAATCGTTTATAAAATGTGGCAAATTTTAACCTTATGTAATTTTGTTAGCTATGCAATTTTTCACCTCATACAATTTTTCTCTATCTCACAATTTTAGCCTCAGTAATTTTCTTTGCTGTATAATTTAAATGGAACGTAAATATTTTGTTGATTAAAGCTTCCATCATATAAATTGTCTGATGTCCATTCTTAACTTCTTAAGAATTCTTTGCTGTTTAAAATTTCAGGGGAAAGAACATGCTTCTTCAACATTACTAACACCATTTAAAAAGTCCCATTATGTTGAAAGTAGCAGACGAAGAGGCATCAATTTTAGAGTCTTGCCGCCTCGACTGCGAGAGGAAAGGACCCGCAAAGTCGACTCCAGTGTGGAGAAACGGCTTAACGTTACCAACGCGGAAAGAAGGTAGATCTCCCATAGGCGATGGACGGGTACGAAAATAACGAATGCACTTGGATAGCACACTTCGTATTGTACGTTTGGAAGACATAATACAAACTTGATGGGAAAGGAGAGATTGTACGAAATGGTTACCTGCATCAAAGTACTTAAGGTGCGTATGTTCAATTAAGATTAGAGTGAAACTACGAGAAGAGGGAAGAATAGCCGGAAAGCGTTGGTCATATGAAAGAGGAGCTTGTCGGAGGCGTCCACCTACACGTAAAATTCCTTATTCATCGATCATAGGAGAGAGTCTCTGAAGGGTTTTGGGCAAACGTTTATGAATTTCAATGAAGGCGATCACCGAAAAATTACCCCGTTGTATATGACGAATAAAAATCATTTGAACGCTGGAGTACTCGAAAGACTTGATAAGACCCTTTTTCCTTTTCGCCGGAAAGAATTTACCATTAATGAAGAGACGGATGTAGCAAAGAATGAGAATAACTTTAGGCAGCGAAGAATGGCGGTGGAGAAATTCAAAAATTAGAAACAAGCACTGCCTTAAAGGATTGGGCCAAATGCGTTAAAAACCCCAAGGGATCGAAAATGCGGGCGACATGGGATAAAAGCTATCTCTTGGTACAGCGTTGTTGCAAAGGGCGAAGAGATATATGAAAGGAGTCTGTGGTAGGGTGCCATTGAAGCCCCAGAACCTTCAAGGTATGAGCGTGATCACTTCCTTCCAATGAAGGGGCATCTAAGCACACGTGAGCGGGCGGAAGATCATCCAACAGTGAGGGGGTGTAAGAGGCCCACTTAAGCAGCGCAAAACCTCCTCGCTTCAAAAGAACAATCAACTGAGCTCTTATTGAGAGGGAGTCTGAATAAGACCAACAGCCCGTGACAACATCGTCAATGTAGGTATCCTTGCGTAAAGCGGTGGCGGCTAAAGAGAAAGAAGAACCTTCTAGGTCCACTAACTTAAGCAAGACTCGAATAGCGAGATACGGAGCAGAGCTAATTCCATACGTA